GGGGGGGGGGGTGTTGTCTTAGTTCAACACATTTGATTTCATTGTAAAGATTGTTGTTTTGATTTTATTAAAGGGTAGTAGATAGAGATATAAGTATGTAGTTTCACATGATAAATAATATATTTATTTGGGCACAATTAACAGTATTTTTATATAAATACACATACTATCACATTATGATCAACAAAAGGTGATTCACTTTTCACTTTGATAAAATATTGGTGGTGCACAGAATATTTGGCCCACAGAGTATTGATTTATGGAAGGCACCTAATCATTGTTCAAGTTGAAGGGTTTAAACAGTAAAGAAATGGAAAGACTAATGAAATTTAAATTAACAGGTAGTTCATAATAAAAGTTAATTATACTATGAGACATTCACTTTAAAGGGTGAAACTGGGAAGGTTGGCCCTACGCAGATATAGATTGGGTTATGGATAATGGGTATAATATGGAGGTTAGAAGGGATTAACGTAACGTCTTGTTTTGTTTTAATGTTGATTGTCTGTCAGCTATGTAAAATATGTGAAACTTGGATAGTTGTTAGAAAATTAATAAATATTTATAAAACAAAACATTTTCTTCTTTTCTGTTCTAGGATTCGACAGGGTCAAGGATGAAACCTTGCAAAGTAAAGAGGACTCTTCTAACTCCATGTCCAAGAGCAAGGTAATCTTATGCATGCTTTCCTTGGAAAACTCCCTTCTTCAACTGCCCCTATTGCTAAATAACCCACAGAGCTCCTGATGTGCTTGCGTGATGTAGAAAAGGACAGTTTATGGGGATACAAGGTTAAACTTTTGGTATTTGTTCCAAGTTATGTTGTATGTTACAGAGCTTCCACTTGCTTTGAGGCTCAGGAGAACTTATCAGTCTTTATAATAGTGGCCTGTTTTGTAGGATCATTTGTTATATAGTTAATTCTAAGTAAGTAAGAACTTTCAGCAAAACAGATTCGCAGATGGTAGCTGTCAGAGCTTTCCTAAATTAAGCCTAAATGGTTAGTGGTTAGTCCATCCAAAGTGCTATATAAGTAAATGGTGGGCCCTGAAAGGTTGAATCATCCAGTGACTGCTTCTCTATTCAGGTCTCGCTACACCTTCTGATACAGCAGCATACATAATTTAAAGTGAATAAAAAAAGAAAGATTGTGGCCTCCTAGCAATGGGTGTGGTAAGTGAGTGGTGTTGAGAGCTCAGGGTCAGAGATCTCACCAGAGTCTTCACATGGCTTCAAAGGACAGTGCCCTGGCATCTTTCCAAAACACACAAGTATCACCAAATCAATAGGTCCAGAATATGTCATAAGGAATATACAGAAAAACATTTACTTTCTTTTTTCCAATCAGCCCTGAAGAAAGATAGGAAGAATCTTGTACATTTTTAGAAGGTGTATCCCAAGTGTATAGATACACTCGTATATTTTTTCTGACTTTTGCCATGTATTGGTGTACATTATTATTAGCTTCTTATTACAGTTCAAAAAGACAAGCAAATAATGGTGAATGTTAATTCTTTATCTACATTTGTATTTTTAATGCTTCCTACATTTGATCATTCCTTTGCAGTCAGAGTCTAAATTATACAATGGGTCTGAAAAGGATATTGCCGCTGCCTCAAGCAAACTTACAAAAAAGGAATCACTCAAGGTAAGTCATTACTGACCATGTTAAATGACAATACCTTGTACCGGAGGAGATCTGTTATAGAATGTGTTTGTCAGGTTGAAGGATGGGCACTTCAAAACCCATTGTAGTGCATTCATTGTAGACCTTTCAAGGACTACTGTGTGCCTGATCTGACCATAATATAATGTTGCAGTCAATGAAACCTGTGCTGTATTAATGTTATGGACCTTGGGCATACCAGGTACACCCCCGAACTACCCAGAAAGCACCCAGGCATACCGGGCACACCATGGTTTTCACCACCACAGCTCAAGAGCTGTCAGAAAGTTGTAGGGCCAGCTGTCATTTTGACAGCTGCGTCCTGGTATGTGTTGCAGTAGTGCCAACAGCAGCGTCTGTTCTATAAAAAAGCCTGCAAACATCATTATAAATACACGCTAACAATATTATTCTTAAAGTGTGTTCAGTTGTGTTCTTTATTTGAAGATCATAAATGTTTTATTTTTATCTATGCATGATGCCAATAAAAGCAGCCTTGAAAATGGGGAAAAAAGGTAATTGTTTTTAGTATAAGCTGCATCTATTTAACTTTATTCAGGTATATCTAAATTAAAAGACCAAATTATAATACATTACAGGCTGCAAGTCCTTCAATGTGATTGCTGCGTTAGTTTTCTTTTTAGGTCTTTTTTTTTTTCTCCCTTTTCACCTGGTGATCCAGCTAGTAACACACTTCCTGTCTTAGGGTGGCTACTCTCACGTTTCCACTGTATCTATGGAGCATAGCCACCCTTGGACAGCAGCATGGTCAACCTGCAGAGAGGGTATGGTTAGACAGACTTAGTAGATTTAAATGGTCTAACAAATTAAAGTCCAACTCCATCTAACACGTATTACACTGTTATTCTGTATCCTATAAGTCATATTTTATTTTTGCCCATAGTTACACTTTATTCCTTAGTTAATCTTATTGAAAATCTCAAACTTTCTCTTCTTAGCTGTTATTATAATGCAGTTTTTTTGTATTTATTTTTTTTACTATTTATAGGTAAAAAGAAGCCTCTATTGCATTTACAAATAACTTTGTGGTGTTTTATTTTACCAGAAACTTACATTTAGTGTTAGAAATGAAAAATTATTCTATAAAATGTGCACAACACTAGTTGTTTTAAAGCTTACTCAGGTCAAACAAAAAAAGTTTTTAGTTTTTTTGTTTTTAGAATGCATATTAAATAAAATGATTTTCACAAGTCAATGTTACCATAAAAAAAGTCATATGTTAGGTAACGACTAAGTAAGTTAAGTTTGGGAGGCTTGTAGCAAAAATATCAAAATTGCTCTAGATCATAAAGCGTACAGGTGTGAGAGGTGACTTGACTCCAAAACATTGTTCTTAAGAGGAACTCAGCTCTGGAAGCTGCCCCCATAACAAAAAAAATAGCGCACAGAGGGTAAAGGATTAGTCACCAGCATTGCTTGTAATCTCCCTAGAGCTGATCGCTTCCATTACTGACTTACCAAGCTTAATTCTTTACAGTGTCCCTCTGTAATGTGGAGACAGCCTTCCTGGTAGAGACAAGGTTTTTGTTTCCTCATGGCAGAGGCTGCAGCAAGGAGAGCAGCACCAAAATCCACTCCAAATCTTCTGATCTAGACTATCAGTCAGAGACAGCAGTGCCTTAGATCTCTCACTGAAGATATACAGCTATGATGCTGTAGGCCCCTACAATATAGCATTTCACTGTCTGAGTTCAGTTCCTCTCTAGGCTGTAGCTGTTTTTAATGCATTCAAGCTAGTGGTCTCCAGGGGGAAAAAAACACTGTGTCTACAGGTAACAGGTTATGTTGAGTGTGTATTTATTTTTCTCTGTTTACTTTGAGTGGTCCGTACTAAGCCTCCTGTTATTTTCCTGAACACAACTTCCTCGATAAGCGACTTCCCTAGTGCCTAGAACATGAGTCAGCCTGAGCTTTGGTCTTTTATATGGGGAGACCAAGGCAGAGCAGCTTTCTGTTCATCTTATTTTATAGCTAGTGCCAATCCACCCACTGTCTCCCTGATTTATTAATGGATTGAAAGATTATTAGAAATTTGCACAGACTAAATAGTAGAGCTGATTTCTGTTCAGGAAATATGAATCATAATTTTTTTTTTTAGCATCAATTAGAATGTTAATGAACGTTGTTCTGTAACAGAATATTTATATGGTAAGCAGTCACCCACTGTTCTTAGTCATTGTTTCTCCAACCTTAAATTTGATAAGTAGGTTTGCCCAAGGTCAAAATAGGTGGGCTGGAAGCTGATAAGTGTTTTCCACATGAAAACCCTCTGTTATCTGCATTAGTGTAATGTGTTTATTCTGTTCTTTCAGGTGCAAAAGAAAAATTATAGGGAGGAGAAGAAGAGGGCCACGAAAGAATTGCTCAGTACAATCACAGATCCATCGGTTATTGTCATGGCAGATTGGCTAAAGGTGAGAGCTACAGGTGTTGCAGGTTATACTTGCACAGTAGTTCATACATTCACAATAAAGGCATTATTTTCTAAAAATTCTGAAGTCACTTGTATCCTTAGATGGTGTTCTTCTGGAGTCATGTTCACAGTTCCTTACTGCTGTTAGTCCAGCCACACAAGCCATTTTTTTTCAAGGGATGCAAGTCATTCAAGTATTGCTTGAGATTTTAGAAATTTGTAGATGGAAAGTATTTAATCATCATAATGCTTTTTTTTTATGCCTTTTTTGGCTTTACTTTTCTTTGGAGTTACAGAAGTACATTTACTTACGTACTCCTGTGACCCTAAGTCTTAAGGGCTTGTTGTGGTTCCTCCTACTGGCTTGTACATCCTCTAGTGAAAGATGAACTGGTTGGAGGAATCGCAATGTGCAGCAGGAAGCAGGTATTCTACACCCCAGGAAGTGTTGCATACATGTTGCATGGGATCAGCATCATGGCAGCATTTCAACACATGGGCATCTGTAATTAAGTAATTATTCAGCCTTAAATTCAAAATTAAATTATCAAGACTGACTTGCCTTTTCCCTATACCAATTTTCAGTCTGTCCTTAGATAGCAGTACCAGTTTAATTCACAAAGGTTCAAATGTGCAGCCAGAATTGTTGCTGAAAGTAGAATTTTATTAATGGTTGCCATTTCTGACTTTCCTCCTGAAAATGCTAATCACTTTCCTGTTCCTGGCACTAATACTGGCCTAGAACCAGTATGCAGCAAGTGACATCCTTTGACATCTAAAGGAAACCGTGTCCAAAAGGCCAGCAATGTTACTGACCAAGAAATAACGTTTCTGAGTAATCATATACTGTTGAGGACGAATGTCCTTCCGGCATTTTTGCCCCCTTTTGTGGGGCGTTTTCACCACTAAAATCCTCTGAAGAGAGTTGGTTCTGCTGTAACGTCCTTCCCATGGAAGCTCTTGATAATGGGTGGCACCTGACCTGATCTCTGAAGGGTGCTGTCTACTATAGTTCCCATGTAAGCTGGAGTCCTCACACCACTTTCTACTCTTTTAATAAATTAATAATGAATAAATGGTACTGTTAGACGTTCGGTTATTAATATTACATCTTTTTTCAGAAAACTTTACAATTTTTTTGGTTGGCCTTATTATAAATATATTTTATTATTTTTCTGAGACAGAAAAACAACCCTGCCCTGGTCTGCTACATTCATTTTAAGGATTTTAGCAAATGTAATTTCAGAGTCCTCTGTCTGCTGCTGTTTGCATTCAAGTTTATACATGAATTGCCATCATTTCCTGCAGCCACTCGCTGAGTATTGAGAGGGAAAGTCTTCTGATCCCACAATGAGTCTCAATGTTTCATTATGTGAAAAACTACTAGGGACAGCAGGGATCATGTCACATGAGAAGGAGCCAACATTTCTGGGGGAATTCTGTGAAACAACAGTGTACAGAATGTCCCAATACAAGGAAGCCATATTTTATTTTTTCACAGGTTTAGAAAATTGTAGCAAGCAGCATATTGCAATACAAAGGCAATTTATATTACAGTAAAGCGTGTGTAACAATTGCATGTTCTGTATGAATTCATTTGATCAAAAGTTCATTTTCCTTTCAAGAACATGTTTCACATTTATTTACAGATTAGAGGGACGTTAAAAAGTTGGACGAAACTGTGGTGTGTGTTAAAACCAGGGGTCCTGTTAATCTATAAAACCCACAAAAATGGACAGTGGGTAGGCACAGTTCTACTGAATGCCTGTGAAATCATAGAAAGGCCATCTAAGAAGGATGGATTCTGCTTTAAACTTTTCCACCCGCTTGAACAGTCGATCTGGGCTGTTAAGGTAAGTGTCTATTCTGTTGTAAAAATCTTTTATGAAATGCTGTACTCTTTTGATGCGTAGTGGCATTGCAAATGTTGTGGTCCACATAGTGTGATCTCATAACAATCCTAAAATGGTCACATAGCTTACCCAAGTACAGTATCATACAGACCACATTACATAACCTACATACATATCAGAGTGATCACATAGCGTAACCTTAGCATAGTGTCAGACTACTTAACGTAACCCTTGCACAATATCAAAAAGACAACATGGCATCAACACAGTACAATATCGGGAAGACCACACAGTACAACCCCAATAAAATGTCAGAATGATCACATAACATAACCCCAGTGCTATATTTGAAAGACCACATAGCAAATCCTCAGTACAATATCTAAAAGATCAAATAATATAATCCCAGTGCAACATTAGATAGATGACATATCTTAAACCCAGTACAATATCAGATGGATCACATAGCATAACCCCAGTGCAATATCAGGAAGACCATCTACCATAAGTACAATATCAGAAAGACTACATAGCAAAACACCAGTACAATATCAGAAAGACTACATAGCAAAACCCCAGTACAATGTCGAAAAGATTGCATTGAAACAATCCAGCACAATATCAGAAAGATCGTGTAGCATAATCTCAGTATGATGTCAGAAAGATGACCTAGCATAACCTCAGTACAGTATCGGAAAAGCCACGTAGCATACCCCCAGTACAGTATCAGAAGGATGACATCACGTAACCCCAGTGCAGTATTTGAAAAGCCACATAGCATGCTCCAGTCTATTATCAGAAAGACGAGATGGCATAACCCCAGTACAGTATCTGAAAGGCCACCTAGCATACCCCCTGTACAGTATCAAAAATATGACATAGCATAACCCCAGTACAGTGTCGGAGAGATTGCTTAACATCAGTGCAGTATCAGAAAGACCACGACATCTCATTGGGTTACGTGGGGGGAGCGACAGGTGTACCTGCCACCCCCTTTCTGGTCAGAGCATCCCAAGTTGCTAAGAGCTCCCAGCTCCTGGCAACCAGTGACATCACCAAACACCACCCCCCTGATAACGTGCACCGCCAACACCCCCCAAGCACACACCCCCCTCCCCTTGGTAACGTGCAACACCAGTGTCCCCCAGTAACAAGCAACATCAGCAGCCCCCCAAACTCAAGTGGCAAAAACTGTAGGGGCGCTCTCTGATCAGGAAGACCACATACTGTAACCCCAGTACAAAATCAGGCCATGTACTGTAGTTCCAAGGAAGCTTCCGCTGTTCTGCGTTGTGTCCAGTGCCATCAGTCAGCATGACATTGCAGAGACAGTATGCAGAAGTTCTTGTGTAAGAGAATGTCATATAAAATGGTTGTATAATTTGCACCTTGGTAGGTCCTATTAACTTTTCTTTATTTTAAGGGTCCTAAAGGTGAAGCAGTTGGATCTATTACGCAGCCTCTTCCAGGCAGTTACTTGATTATCCGCGCTGCATCAGAATCTGATGGTAAATACCAATATTTCTTGTGGTTGAAGGGCTTGCTGGTCTGTATAATGTTTGTTCTTGTTCAGTAGCAGCTGCTCACATTTGTACCTTCCCAGCTGCCAACACAGTATTAACTTAGGTTTCCTTATATTATCTAGAGGAGATGCATAATGTAATCTGTATGTTGGGATCACCTTCAATTGCTAAGGTGATCTATTCCCCTTACTTTATAGGAAACAATGGATAGTAGAATAACCAAAAAGCAAATCTAAAGTTTGCATACAATGATTATTTGTGAGATATTTAAAGTTCCTCCACACATTTTGCTGAAGTAGGGGAACATGATGGAGAAACCTAATTACTTAAACCTTAAACAAAGGCTGAGCAATCAAATGAAGAAATGCTATGTATCAAATGCAAGTAACCATGCTCACTGCCTTGAGAGGACTTGTTTAGCTTGAATAATGAAAGCTGATGTCCGTATCTGGGATTGGGGGGGGGGGGGACACTGTCTTTGGGTCCCGGCGG